GTTCACTTGCCAAATGGCCTCCACAGCCAGGACTGGCCCAGGCTGAAGTTAGGAGCCAGGAGTCCCCTCTGGTCTCCCACGTGGGTGCAGGGGTCCCAGCACGTGGGCCATCCTCCGCTGCCTCAGTGCATGACCAGGGAGCTGGTTTGGAAGTGAAGCAGCCTGGAGTCAAACCAGTGCTCTGATGTGGAACACTGGTTCACCCACAGTAGCATCACCCGCTATGCCATCAGCCTGTCTAAAGAAAGAACCTCCCCAGCCAAACGCTGAGACTTCCTGTGTGGGTACAGGTGGCCAACAGCCTCCCAAAACACACTGACCAGCAGCGTGGGCTAACCACGCAGGCTCTGTGGAAACACTACCCAGACCAACAAAAAGCCTATTTCTGAGGCCTGGGAACTGAGCTGCGGAGGGGGAAGGTGCTGGGCCTGGTCAGCACCTGGGATGCCAGGGGTGGGAGGGGGTGATGCCCTTGCGAGAGCCCCTCCCCGCTGCCCTTGCCCGAGCACAGAGCCCAGCATGAGAACAGAGGGAAACGGGTCCTGTGTGGGCATTGGCAGCTGTGCCTTCAGGGAGGAGGCACACCAACCTTTACACCGAGGGTAGCACCTGGCAGCGGATGGTCCCAGGTTCCAGCTGAGGGCCAGATGGGGAGGCATCCAGGCCATCATCCAACAGCAGCCCTCTGGGCCTCCCAGGCAGGTCCCCAAGCCTCACGCCAGGCCTGTTGCAGGACGCCTTGGCAGTCATGCAACACCAGTGTCCAGCCCTTCCAAACCGATGCATGGGAACCTGGCAGGTGCACTCAATACTGTCACCCACCGTGCATCTTGCTTCTTAACAACCCACGTTTCCTGTGATCTGGTTGGAGATCCCTCATGTGCACGAGTTTCATTTTTTTTTTTCCCACCAAAATGTCCTGATCTTTCATTTTAGTTTCCCATGTGCGGCCATTGCGATACCATAGAGGCCACATATGGACAGAGCAGGCAGGAACGGGTCCTGCTGGCTCGGGCGGTCATCCTCCCTGCGTGCCCGACGCCCCCCCAACATACATGGCTTCTCTGTGCCCAAGTTTCCTCCTCTGTAAAATCCACCTGCCAAGAAGGCTGTAACAGGTACAACAGCGACAGGCAAAACCTGAGAAATGTGACCTGTCACTTTTAACACAGGAAAGCCAGGGGCCGCGTCAAATCCGTGACCAGGAACAAACCGACACCGCCATTGCATGTCAATTAGGCATACGCTCACGATTCGCTGGTTCCGGGTGAATGAAGAGGCACGGACATACTCGGAGTTTGGGGGGGGCTGCCTTTGGACTAGGCAATGGGATGGGGGTGGGGAGGCACGGGGCGTGGCAGCAGACGACCAAGCACATGGGGTTGTTTCTCTAATTAACCCTGAGGACGCCGCTCAGCCCAGCCCCCTACAACCAACACATCTGCCCCTCCTCTCTGAGGAGCCCAGGGCCCTGCTCACTGCCCAAGGTTGCCCAAGCTGTCCCAAACGTGAAGTGCTGTCTCAGGACTTGGCGCCCTTGGTAGGAGCGGGTGGCGGTTGGGGTGGTGGGCTGTGACAGCGTCACAGGAGGTGATGACGGAGGAAGCAGCGCTCTCAGATCCCAGCCACCTCTCAGCCCGGTGCAGCTGCACCAGCTCAGGGTGGGGCCCGGGCAGGGGGAGGGGGAGGTTTTGGTTTCCTTTTCGCCAGGCTCTGTGGGGCAAGACACTCTTCAGTTGGCTTTGAGGCCCCTCCCTTCTAGCCTCTGGGTCCTGGTCCAGCTCACTGTGTGACTCTGGACAAGTTCCTGACCCCCTTTGGGTTCCTGATTACTGCTTTGTAAGATAAGAGTCAGAGAGAGATCTTCCCTCACAGCCCTGCCTGCTCAGACAGTTGCACAAATACTCAGATTCCTGGGGGAAGCTGATCAACCACTCTTAAATGATTATAAAAATGAGCCCAACAAGGAGCCCTCAGGATTTCCTAGCCCCTACCTGGGGACTGCAACCTGCAGGATTACAGTGTTTGTTGAAGATGCACTGGGATGAGGAGCAGGTGCACGGAGAGGCAGCCCAGGTCTCCCGACTCCTTCCTTCTTTGCCCACTCTTGGGTGATCCCAGCCCTGCCCCACCCCAACCTCTCCCCACAGCTGGCACCCTCAGGCCAGCAGGCTCCATGCTCCCCTCCTCCCCCTCTTCCCAAGACAGAACCAACTGCCAATCGGCGTCGCCCTGGCACCTTGGGTCAACAGAGCTGGGCTGGGTACCTTTTTGGTCCCGTTCCATGTTTACCTGTCTGTCTGCCGCAGGCGCCCAGGAGCCTGTAGAACTTGGCACAGAGCAGAGATGCAAGAACCCGGCAGCTCTCAGCAAAGCCATGCAAAGGATACGGTGAGGGGGGAACGGCCTCACAAGGATAGGAAATGCCTAGCCAGAGGCTCAGGGCTGGCCACAACACTCCAGCCCCTGCTGGCTCTCCAGTCACCTGCACCAGGACATGGAGGGCATCCCAGGAGTCCAGAAGGTAGTGGGCTGCAGGCATTGCACACACTAAGGGCTCACCAAGGGCTCCTCTGACATGCCTGGAGCTAGGAGGAGGACGTACACCCAACCCACGTGTTCAAGGGGAATCTGTGCACCCCTAAACCATGCAGCTGGCTAAGCCCAGGCCTCCAGACAGAGCCGCCTCTCAGCTCCAGGCTATGGACATGGGCAGGAAATGTCACCTCCAGAAACCCTGCTTCTGGGGTGTGTGGCCAGGCCCCAGGGTGCTTCTGTGTTGTGCTTGCTCCCAGTTGGGTCACAGGGTGCAGAGTCCTCTCCCTCCCCCAGAAAAACAGGTGTGTGGCGCACAGGGCCCAGCAGGGCCCAGTGGGTGTTTTGTGTTGTCACATCCCAGTGTTGACACTAGGAACATCAGCCACCCTCCCGCGCCCCGCGCCACCCCGGGTCTTAACTGCCCTCGGGTCACACAGAGCCCAGAAGCGTGGGCTGTGGCTGAGGGGCGTACTTTCTGTGTGCCCCTCAGGGCCAGCTTGACCAGCCAGCCAAAGGACACAGGGGAACCCTGGGCTTCCCCCCACCCTGCACATCTACCTGTGGCCACCAACACTCTAGTGTTGAAAGAGCAAATTCGGACTCTGGCAGCCACCCAGGTCTGGGGCAGGGGCAGCTTCTGGCATCCCTCGGACCTGCAGTCCCCCTCCCCCTGGCTCCCTACAGTCAGCTTTCCCCAGGGGCCAGCTCAGGGGACCTGGGCACTACTCCTCCCTTTACCACCCACCCACCCGGAGCCCACAGCAACAACCAGGTAGCGCCTGCCCAGCCCAGGAGCAGGGTCACCCACCACGGGAAGCTTCCTCTCCCACGGAGCTGGCAGGCCAGTGTCAGGAGCACCCAAGGCCCGAGATGGGATCTCTGGCAGCCATGGCATCCCTGGGAGAATAAAGCCAGCCCTAGCACAGACGCTGAGGGACGGATGGGTGCAGCCAGTCTCAACCGGAAAGTGGCGCGAGCCAGGAGAGCCCACTGCCAGCAAGGCTGGCCACAAGACCCGTGGCCTTGAGGCCCAAAGACGGGGCTCCGGCTTGGCCAGGCTTCAGGTGCAGAATTTCACACCTGCAGCAACACGGGATCTGACTCTGGTGCCTTGGGACCCCAATCAGGGTGCAGCTCCAAGCTGCCACTCTACTGGCCCTAAAAGAGGAGCTACCCAGGGCCTCCTGTTCAGCAAGGCTGTCACCCAGGCCTCGCACCCTCAAAACTGTGGGCCCAAAGAAACCTTGTTTCTCGCCCATTCTGCAGCATCAGCGACAGGACTCACAGATGGGACTTGGGAGAGAAGACAGGAACAGAGCCACAGACAGGCACAAGCAGGACGCTGGAATCCTGGCTCAGCACGAGGACTCAGCTCTGCCTGTGGGGGCACAGGCACCTGTGGGGACACTGGCACCTGTGGGGGCACTGGCAGAGCATGTCAGACTCCCAGGCGTTCCCAGCACACAACCCAGATAAGCCACCTGAAACTTATTCCCAAGTTCACTGGGCACCAAATTGGTTCAGTAAAAACGGGCACTTTATCTGCTTATGCCCAGACTGAATGTAGGAAAGGCATGCATGTGAGTGCCCCCCTGCCCAGACTTCACTCCCTTGGGGGTCTGTCTCCTTCCTAACGCGGAGGCAAGGAGGCCTCCTTCCAGAGAAGTGGGCGCGCAGCCGCAGAGTCCCATCATGAGAAGGGTAGCTCTTTCTGGGGAAAGCAGCGCCTTAAAGTTTCACAAGGCCACCCACATCCCGGAATGTCAAGTGTGGCGGCTGGACCCTCGCCCCTGCCCGAGTGCAAGTGGCAAGCCCGCGAGGGCAGGCACCTGTGCAGGGGGCGTGGACAGATGAGAGCCCGCCGGCGCGCCCAGCTCGCCCTGCAAGTTCCTTTTCCGCACTCGCCGCGCGCGTCCCAGAATCAAGCTTTCCTCTGACCCTTCCACAGGTGCTCGGCGCTTCCCAGCCCGAAGGGCACAGGTGCCCGGCGCCATCTTCCCTCCTCCGGGGCACGCGGGAACTGTGCCGTGCCCTCTCTGGGCTGGCGAGACAGCGCCGCGATCAGATCCGGTCCGCACGCTCTCCTCCTCCCCGCGCCTTGTTTCCCCTGCATGCCTGGAGGTGCTGGCCGAAAACCCAGAGGCCATGTAGGAAGGTGAAGGAGGGACGACCAGGGGACATCTGGCCGCGGGGTGCGGGCCGGCCCACTGCACAGATGCGGAGACTGAGGCAGGCAGGGGTCGTGAATGGCACGGTGGAGGGGCTGGGACCTGGAGCCACCGGCCCCAGAAGGGAAGCCCCAGGCCGGAGTCCCCAAACGTGTCCTGCAAGCGACTTGCCCAGGACTGGCCAGGGCGTAGGTCCCCAGGGTTCCCGAAATCAGCGCCCAGGGTGGGGGCCCGAGCGCTTCCCCGATGAGCGCGGACGCCCCTGGAGGCGGCGAGGAGGGGGCGCGGACTCACCTGCTGGCAGGCGGCGGGTGGCGGGCGACGGGAAACGGGCGGCGGCTCCGGCTCAGGCTCCGCGAGGTATTGTCTGCGCTGGCGGCCGGCTCGGGACCTGATAGGCCCGGAGCGCCCCGTCCGACGCGCCCCGCCCCGGGAGCGCCAGCCCCGCCTGCCCCGAAGCCGCGCCGGGCCTTGGCGCGTGGGGCTGCGGGCGGCGCGGGCGGGTCACACTGCAGACCACAACCCCGGCGTGGGTCCTGGGGGAGACTAAGCACCTCCGACGCGGAGAAAGGTTCAGAAGGAATGGCCCGCAGAAGCCGGCGCTCAGAGACCTGGGTGTCCCTAGGCCAATTGGGGCACCCCCTGGCGCTGCATCCAAGGGGCCTGGGGAGGGGGGAGGCTTTGCGTCCTAGCCCGCCGCAGCCTCAGACCTGCGCCCCTCTCCCTGCCACACCCACACTCCAGTCCCTGCTCTGCACTCCTGGACCACGGGCACTGAGGTCAGGCGTGGGGAGGAGGTGGACAGTCCACGTGGAGACCCCCGAGAGGGGCAGGGTCTCAAATCCCCAGAACTGGAAGGGAGAGAAAATAACAAAGTAGTCCAAGTAACGGTTTTCTCCAGCACAACAAACTTGTTTACCTCGTCTTGCTCTGGAGTAGAGGAGGGGCACGGTGGGGTTACGGGAGGTTGAGGGTCTCCCTCAGGGTCTCACCTCTGAAATGGAAGGGGCACTGCGCCTTGGTGGACCTGGTGGTTGGAGGCGGAGAGCGGGAAAAAGGGGTTCCCTTTCTTCCTGATGCATTTTGCAGGTGAAGAAATGGAGATTGCAAGAGAGGGGCATGACCCCCAGAGGGGGGGTCTCTGGCCGAGGGCACAGTGCCTTGCACACAGGTGGAAGAGGCAGGTAAGGAAAGGCGGCTGGACAATTGGGACCCTGAAGGACCCTGAGGAGACATGAGTGAAAATACCTGACTGGCAGGGTCCCAGGTAGGACCCACTCACTCACCCACCTGGGGCAAGAGCAGGCATAATGTGTCTGCCTAAGAGCCGGGCAGGCCACAGAGCTCGACTGTTCAGGCGGCTCAGACCTCCTCTGATTCCACAAGCACCCTTCTGCTGACTGCAGTAGTCCTGATGGCTGCCCTGCCCGGGCAGCTGGCCCAGCTCGGGAAGATGGATTAGAAGGGGAGTCCCCAAACAGGCAAGAGAGGGCCTACGCTCACTGTGCGAGCACCCCAAGACCGTGCAGTGGGCACAGATTCTCAGGGGCACACTCAACCCCACCAGTCCCACACCTCCCGGGTCTCCATCTACCGGTCAGGGCTCCTCGCCTGTAGGAGCTGCCCCCTTCTACTGGGGCAGGACCACTTCCAGCCACTGTCAGAGGTGCAGGCCTTCCCGCCCACCACAACAGGCCCTCCCTGGGCCAGTCTGCAGGCTCAGCCTCCTCCTTGGCAGGACTTCTGGGTTGTTCATTTGGTAAGCATCAACAATGGCTCCATATGACCCACAGGGTGGTGATGAGGACAAGCCCCCACCAGGTGGCAGTGGACAGAGAGCTGGGCAAGGCCTTGGCAAGGGCTGACCTTGGTGCACCCTTGAGGGCCAATGGTTCCTGGTGGGTGTGGGCCCTGGGCCCTGGTTTGACTGCTGACCCAGTCACCTGTTAGGTACTGGGTGGCCCTCAGGGCCATCCTCTGAAACTGCCCGCTTCCCAGGGCACCTTCATGGGTAGAGGCTTTGGGGGTCCTGAGCGTGGGGTCTGGCACACAGCAGGTGCTTAATAAGTGCAGGAGCTGATGGGGTAGGAGCTGATTAGGCACTGCTGAGGTAGGGTGAGTGTTGCATGGTAAGCCGCTGCTGCTGAGACGTCTACACTCCACAGTGCCTGGTTCTCGTCCCAGCAGCTCCACTTCCCATCCAGCTCCCTGCTTGGGGCCTGGGAAAGCAGTCGAGGACGGCCCAAAGCCTTGGGACCCTGCACCCATGTGGGAGACCTGGAAGAAGCTCCTGGCTCCTGGCTTTGGATCAGCTCAGCGCCGGCTGTTGCAGCCACTTGGGGAGTGAATCAATGGACAGAAGATCTTGCTCTCTGTATCTCCTTTCTCTGTATATCTGATTTTTCAATTTTTTTAAAAGTGTATTGAGGAAAGCAATAAAATTCAAGCTCTTGGAAAAACAGACAAAATATCTTGACCCGGAGGGATCATTAGAGGAAAGAGTGGAGTTGTGGCCCAGGAGAGACAGCCTGGGGACTCACTGCTTGGGCTCACCCACCGCCATGGCCCGAAGGGTGCTGCTACAGGAAGACAGCCCCTGTGATGTCCAGTGAGACCTACAGAGGACAGAATCGTGTCTGTGACATGCGCTGCTTGCACCTGGCAAGCTGCCTTGCTAGGAGGGTTAGAGCCACACAGAACTAACCGATAGCCTTGGAAGTGAGACTGCTGGCCGCCTCGGGGTGGGGTGGGAGGCCTGGGGAACCTGCAGGGGAGACAAGGGGGACAGGCCTTGCTCTGGACACGTGACATTTGCTCCTTTTTCAGATGTAAATTAAAAGTCACTGTTAACAAAATTCAAGTCCAGCAAAACAAAGTCCCATGGATCAGAGCGCAGCCAGGCAGCCAAGAGCCAGGAGTTTCACCCACATTCCCTGTGTCCACAGCAGGTCCAGGCCAAGGTGGGGTGGGAGCAGCTGGCTCTGCAGGTGACCAGGGGGCCAGTGCATTTCAAAGCAGGCTACAGAAGCCCCCAGCTAAGTGCCACAGGGACTTTGTAGGCACGCGTTCCAACAGCTGCTGGGACTGAAATAACCTAATCTCTGGCAGCTTGTCAAGGAGACAGAGACCAGGCCTCCATCCTCCCAGACAATGCCAGGAACCCTGGGTCGGAGGAGAGCCCATATCAGCTCCAGCAGTACGCAGAGGCGGCCTCAGGAGCCAGTGCACAGCCTGCACCAGTGGCCACTGCCGTCGCCTGCCAGGAGCAGGAGTGAGGGCCCAGGTTATCGCTGGAGTCAGGGTTGGCAGTAGGGACAGGACACACGGGGGTGCAGTGACAGGAAGGAGCCTGATCCTGCGGAGTTTCCCCAGGCCCAGAAATAATATGGCTTCTGACAGCCCAGCTTATCGGAGAGAGAACAGAGATTTTTCCAAACAATAGTACTAGTTGGTGCTCCTGCATCCTCATAGGTAACCTGTCCTCTGGGAGGCTGGGCCAGTACGGGAGTGGGCAGTGCTGCTGGGCCCAGCTCTGCTCACGGGGGCACTCTGGGAAGGGCTGCTGGGTTGGAGGGCTGAGGACAAAGGGCCACGCTCAGGTGGCAGCAAAGGGCAGGCATCTGTATGGGCAGCAGTGGATGGGCAGCGGGTGCAGAGAGAGAAAGGGAGGGAGCAGCATAGTGTTGCAACAGGCAAGTCCTCAGACCTGTGATGCCAGCATCCCATATGGGTGCTGGTTCATGTCCCAGCGCCCCACTTCCCATCCAGCTCCCTGCTTGTGGCCTGGGAAAGCACTATTGGATGGCCCAGAGCCTTGGGATCCTGCACCATGTGGGAGACCCAGAAGAGGTTCTTGAGGCCTGGCTCCTGGCTTTAGGTCGGCTCAGCTCTGGCTGTTGTGGCCATTTGGGGAGTAACCAAAACATGAAAGATCTTTTTTTTTTCTCTCCTCTCTTTGCAAAATCTGCCTTTCAAATAAAAATAAATAAATCTTAGAAAAGAGAGAGAAAGGTGATTTTTTTTTAATCTAGGTTTTGGTGGTTTCTTTCTTTTTTTTTTTTTTTCTTTTTAAAAGACATTTCCTTATCCGTGGGCCATTACAAAAGGAGAGGCGAGACAGAGAAGGAGACATGTGCTGGTTTACTCCCCAGGCGGCCTGGCTGGGCTAGGCCGATGCCAGGAGCCTGGAAGCCCATCCTGGTCTCCCACATGGTTGGTGGGGTTCTAGGGACTTGAGCCATCTTCCACTGCCTTCCCAGGAGACTTAGGGCGCTGGATGGACATGGCACAGGTGGGATTGAGCCAGCACTCATAGGGGGTTCTGGTTCCAACCGGCTGCACCACAATGCCAGCTGTGACTTCGTTCTGGGTGCTCTATCACGGTTAAGAAGGCAAGAATAACGCCAATTGAAAGCCTTGTGAGGACTTCTGGGCCAGGGGCAGAGGGGTGATATTTGGCCTGACATACCTGCTGTATGCTCCTCTGGCCTGTGTCACCTCCCAGGACCCCACTCTCCCTGGGGGTCCCACTCTTGGTTTAATGCTGCCCACACTGTGTTTTACACTGCCCCTCAACCCCCAAGGCTGGTGGTTCTTACGGAGAGAAGCCTGATAGAATGTGTCACCAGCTTTGGGGGCAGGTTCAGGGAAGGATTGTACCACGGTGAGGAAGAGGGTGAACAAGACAAGTGGGGCCACAGGAAGACAGCGCCTCTCTCAGGGGATGGGGAACAATGTGACCAATTGCTCTGCAAGGTGGGGTGCCCAGGTCCTTGCACACTGGCCTTACAGCTCAGAGACAGCAAGGGCTAGGAAGGGGCCGGGGCAGGTTGCCTGCAGATGGAGGCCGCACGACATGCAAGTTGGCATCTCCAGTCTTTCTAGGCCAAATTTAATGCCCAGGAACCAACCACAGAGTGGCCACTGTAGTTACAATCTCACCCAGGGAGCCCATGTGTTCAGCGCCTTACATGTGCGAGGCGGCAGGGCCCCGGCCCGGGGGACCTGCTGTGGGGTCTGTGTGCTGTGTGGTGCTTCTCTCATCTCCCCCATCCAGGATGAGAACCCAGGAGCCAGAGTCTGGGGATGGGAGAGGGCTTCCCCAGGCCCCTCAGCTGGACACAGGCAAAAGTGTGTGTGTGTGTGTCCCACTAGGTGGTGCAAGAAGCAAGGGGAGAGGGCCTGGTGTGGGCTGACTTGGGCCAGGGCCGTGGGAGACACTTTAAGAAACCTGCACAGCTGCTGGATTCAAGTCAAGGCTCTGTCACGCACAGCTGTGCAAGCTCTCACACCCTTTTCACCAAAGGGCATTAAACAGCGGGGCCGGTGCAATGGCTTATCACACTAATCCTCTGCCTGTGTCACCGGCATCCCAAATGAGCACTGTGGATCTAATCCCGGTTGTTCCAATCCCCATCCAGCTCCCTGCTTGTGGCCTGGGAAAGCAGTCGAGGATGGCCCAAAGCCTTGGGACCCTGCACCCGCGTGGGAGACCTGGAAGAAGCTCCTACCTTCAGATCAGCCCAGCTCCAGCCATTGCGGCCATGAGGGGAGTGAACCAGTGGATGGAAGATTTCTTTGATTCCCTCCTCTCTGTAAATCTGCCTTTCACATAAAAATTTTTAAAAATGACTAAGTATAAACTTGTTCATGATAATCATCTGTAATGAAAGAAAATTACATTCTTTTGTGGGCAAAGGAGGAAGAGGATTCGATTTTTCTTCATTGAGGCGCAAGACCAGGTCCCCATCAGTTGCAGGCGGTCGTGGTTGGAAACCCCCCTAGTTGGGAGCTGCTACAGAGAGAGGTGGAAGGTGGGCTTGGCTGCAGCTTGTGACTGCAACTCCACGTGGGCACAGGGGCCCAGGCACTTGGAGTCATCCTCCACCGCCTCCCAGGAGCATGAGCAGGGAGCTGGATCAGAAGTGGAACAGCTGGGACTCAAATGGGAAGCAGACGTGGCCCGCTCATGGGGCCATCAACTTTGCCATGCAGGTGCTTCCAATAGGCCCTGTTATCTTGACCCCTAAACTGGGTGGTACGTGGGTTAGGCCTAGGGCCGGGCTGGAGGCCCCATCACCACATCAGTTTATTTCTACTGATCAACCTCCTGTCCGCGCCCCAGCCCCTTCCCAGCCTCATTCTGGGTCCCCAAGACTACGAGGAGGGGGCGGACCCAGCAACTCCTACCAGAGCGAGTTCCGAGCTTGGAGCGCCAAGAGGAGCCAGAGAAACCTGACTCCGGAAGTATCCGTGGCTCCGGCGGCAGCGTCTCTGGTTGCTAGGGCGCTGCCCCGGAAGGACAAGCCGGCTCCCGGCGGGCCGGTGTGCCCGGCAGCCTGCTGTCTCGGTCCGTGCGAATGTCCGGCGGGACCGGGGCGCGGGGCGCGGGCGGCCGAGGCCGCGCTCCTCCTCCACGCGCAGCCCGCGGGAGAGCCCGCTGCGGTCGGGGCGCCGCGGGTGTGGCCGGGGCCGAGCGCGCACGCGCGAGCGAGGGTGGGCGCGCTGGGGTCTGGGCGGCCGCGACCGTGAAGTGGGGGACCCCGCGGCCCGCGGGACGTCTGCCCGCTCGGACGACGTGCTGCTGTCGTGGAGCCGACCTTGTGTTCCTTGGTCCTCCCGGACTCGCTTTGTTCTCCGGAGGACCGGGGGTGGAGGGAGGTGGCCGGCCACCCCGCGAGCCCGTCAGTCGGTCAGCCAGGCGCATTCTTCGCTCCGGACACGGTCAGTGAGTGGGGCTGGTCAAGGATGGGGCGCAGCCCTCGCCGGAGGCGAGTAAGGGTGGAGGGGTCATACACTGTCCCTGCCACCCTGTAGGGGTGCAGAGGTGGGCAGCGGTCACCTGGCGTTCGCCCTTAGATGCCTCTTGTTCCCCATCTTCAGCCCAGGCGTGCTGGGAAAGCCAGCTGTCGGCCCCTGGTCCAGCTGTGACTGCTCTGAGACGGGGAGGAGAACAGAGTCCCTTTGTGTCCCCTGGTGCTTTTCCCTGCTCGCTGTGTCTGCAAGCACCCGGGTGGGGTTGTTAGGCCTGCTGCCCGCCTGGAGGTCTTCCCACACCAGGGTGAACCAACTCAGCTCCCCGCTGGGCATTGTGGGGAAAGACAGAGAGAGAATGAACTGGCTCACATGTGGTGGCTCATTGTCCGGGGCAGGAATGCAGTCCAGGAACCCAGTCCCCCGAGCCATCACCACTGCCTGCTCTGTGGGGTGTACACTAGCAGACAGCTGGGGTCGAGGGCCAGAGCGAGGACTGTCCCGGTGTGCTAGGCAGCTTCTTCCACACCCCTGTAACTCTTGGAGGACCTGGTGCCCTGTGCCTCGTCCCCACCAAGGGTACCTGCAGCCCTGCTGGCCCCGGGAACCTGGGCTCTCGTCACCGGGGCTCCAAGGAAGCTTAGCTGTACTGCTGCTGTGCCGGGACTTTCTGCATTGGCAGGGCTGTGGCCACCGCACACACCCTGCATTGGCAGGGCTGTGGCCACCGCACACACCCTGGCCCTTCCTGCAGGCATGTGGCCTCCACATGGATTCGGGGCCTTTCTGGAGAGTGCTAGCCTGACTCTCTGTCCAGCTGTAGATGACCGCCTCACCTGTGCTTCCACGTGGGCTCTGCCCTGCCCTCCATCACACCCCCAGGAATGCAGCAGACTCACGATGGCTCCCAGACCCTCTTGGGCTGACAGGCCTAGGCTGCTCAGGGCTCTGCTCGCTGGAAACCCCCCAGGAAGGCATTCTGGAGGCTTCTTTGCCCTCAGGATCCCTCGGCTAGCCTGGGCACTCTTGGCTTGGGGCGGTGTGGTTGCATTCTCTTCCTCCAAGGCCACCTGGCCACCATGTCCTGTATCTTCACGTGCTGATGTCCACCTGTGTGTCTGGGGTTCAGCTTTCCCACTGATGAGAGGTCACCTGTCTCAGGCCCACCCAGGCAGCCTGGGCTAAACCTGGTATCCATGCAAAGACTTCACTTCCAAGTGAAGGCCAGGGCTTCAGTACAAATAAATCTTTTTTAAAAAAAATCATTTATTTTTATTGGAAAGATAAATTTACAGAGAGAAGGAGAGTGAGAGAGAAAGATCTTCCATCTGCTGGTTCACTCCCCAAGTGGTTGTAACAGCTGATCAGGAGCTTCTTCTGGGTCTGCCTTGTGGGTGCAGGATCCCAAGGTTTTGAGCCGTCCCCTACTGCTTTCTCAGGCCACAGGCAGGGAACTGGATGGGAAGTGGAGCAGCTGGGATACAAACCAGTGCCCGTATGGGATCCAGACGCATGCAAGGCGAGGATTAGCTAGGAGCTTCATCTGCTTGTCCTGCTTAGGTGACAGGGAGTATTGAGCCCTCACCTAGGTCTCAAAGGTTTATCTTGTTTTGGAAAAAAAAAAACAGGATGTGCCCTGAGACACTATCTGGTCCCCCCTGTGTGGCGCTGGAGGCCAAGGGGCGGTGTCGTTGGGGGCACAGGAAGTGGCAGCAGCTGGGGCCATGAAACCAGGGGACGGGGCGTTCAATGGCATCTCAAAGGTGCGGTCCGACACAGGCTGCCAGGTGTACCCTCTGCACGCACACCAGCGCAGTGGGATGCCGTGCGTGTCCGTAGACTTGCTGGGGTGTTTCTCATCTGTGCTTTGATCTGACCCTGTTTTAGGTGAGGACTAGAGAGGCGGCGGGCGGACTGAAGAGAACCCGGGCATCGGTGGCTCCGGGCATCCCTATGGTAGGTGTGGCCCTGGGCTGCTCTGTCAGTGACTGTCCATGCGGTGGAGGGGGTACCAGGGCTGGGAGGAAGCCTGTGATCTGACCAGGAGAGGCTCCATCGGCTGCAGGTGTCGTGACGTGAGCATCCTTGGTCCCACACCCAGAAGCACACGTGGAAGCGAGGCGGCCATCTCTTCTGCCCAGGTGGTCACTGTGGCTTCCCATCACCCTCAGGTGGGAGGCCACGCAGTCCAGGGGCAGCCCTGTCAGGGTGGCCTGGTCCTTCGGTCCCACTCTGGGTGGAGTTGGGGGCAGAGCAAGAGCAGGCTTCAGCCGGGACTGCCGGCTCTCCCCGCGAGGCACGCGGTGCAGGTGGGGTGTGGGCAGCGGGGAGTTGCTCCCCGTTTGGGCTCATTTTCTGCCTCGTGCTTCTGCCTTTGTTTTCCTGTGGTGGCTGTTGATGTGTATGTGGCATGAGCAGTCAGTTGGAGCCAGGCGTTTATACAGCTCCACGTGGGCTTTGTTGTTTTTTTAATGATTTATTTATTTGAAAGGCAGAGTTAAGAGAGAGGGAGAGAGAGGGAGAGAGATCGTCCGTCTGCAAGTTCCCTCCCTACATGGTTGAAATGGCCAGTGTTCGGGAGCCAGAAGTTCAGGTGTCAGCCACCTCCCTGGCCTCCTGCCAGCTGGGTACGAAATATAGAATTATGGGTGCTGGATTTCAGGGTGCTGTTTGGAGAAAGAGATACATTTCCACTGTCAAGTGACTGGGCTGTGGCTTATCCAGAAAGACAGGGAGGGGTGAGGGTCTCAGGCAGGGACCTGTATGTGCCAAGGCCCTGAGGTGGGAGAGAGAGTGGACAAGTCCAGTGCGGCAAGAACACACAGAGCAAAGGGGACAGGTGCACCTGGAGGGGCAGGTGGGGGCAGGTGGCCGCGTGTCCTGAGCACATGGGGAGCCCTGAGGTTGTGAGAGGCCAGTCCTTCCGTGGCCTGGCAGTAGGGCCAGTGCAGGGTGGCACGAGAGAGGGGAGGTGGGCAGTGCAGAGTGGGTCAGCTGTACCTGGCATGTCAACATGGGGTCCCTTCCCACCCTCCTCTGCATAGTTGTGCTGGCCGGCCTCCACCTGCTGCCTGTATCCTCCTGCCCCACCCCGGGCTTTTCAGCATTGTCATGGCTGACATCTGGGCTGGGGAGCTTGTGCTGGGAGTCGTCTGCATTGTCGGGGGCCAAGTGACACCCCCATCCTCTCCCCTCATGATGCTGGGAGCAGCCCCTCTGCTATGACACAGGTGGTCCCCTAGGGGGCCAGGGGCTCTTGGTGGCAGCTGCGGCTGTGTGCGTTCAGGAGCCGGAGCTGGTGTTGCTTGGTGTTGGAGGGAGGAGAGCCGGGGCTGAGGCTTCATGGAAGGCCTCACATTGCCGTCTCTTCCAGGAGAATGGCGGGCAAAGTGAAGTGGGTCACCGACATTGAGAAGTCTGTGCTCATCAACAACTTCGAGAAGCGAGGATGGGTGCAGGTGACCGAGAACGAGGACTGGAACTTTTACTGGTGAGTCAGGAGCCAGTTTCCGGGCAGGGTTAATTCCACCCACTGCTGCGGGAGCAGCTTGGAAGGGACGGGGTCCCTGCTGTCATGTTCTCTCCTCTTTCCCCATGACCCTGCCCAGGCACGTGGGGAATGTGTGGTGGTGAAGGCATGGATGAGTGTGTCCCGGGGCTGTCACCAAGAGGCCACTGCTCCACCAGGAGGCCACGCTCCCAGTGCTGCAGCGTGGACATGAGCGGATGACCTTGCCGAGGCTGGCGAGGGCTGAGCCCCGGCCTGCTAGCCCATGTCCAGCATGTCGGGGACTCGGTGGGCTTGCTCACCCTGTGCCTCCCCCAGCCCTGCCACTGCTGCCACAAGAGAGAGGTCATCGGCCACTCCCCTCGCTGTCCACTTCCTTCCCCACCCACCCAGTTCATCAGGCTGCCTGGTTTCCCTGCTCATCTACAGGTGTCTCTTTGAACTTTCTCTGGCCTCTGACACATGCGCCCATTGGCACACACACACTCCCTCCTGACACACCTCTGCACACACACGCTGTTGCACACACACTCCCTCCTGACACACCTCTGCACACACACGCTGTTGCACACACACTCCCTCCTGACACACCTCTGCACACACACGCTGTTGCACACACACTCCCTCCTGACACACCTCTGCGCACACACGCTGTTGCACACACATATTCTCCTGACACACCTCTGCACACACACACTGTTGCACACACGTACTCCCTCTTGACACACCTCTGCGCACACACGCTGTTGCACACACATACCCTCCTGACACACCTCTGCACACACACGCTGTTGCACATGCCTGCAGGCATGCACACACACCCTTCTGACACACTCACACTCTGTCCTCACGCACACCTGCAGACACACACACATTCTCTTCACACACATCCCCTCATGACACACATGCTCTCTCACACATACACCCTCCTGACACACACACCTGTGCACACACATGGACTCTGCCCTCACACACACAACCTCCTGACACACATTCACTCTCACACACACATGGCCACTGGTGCACACACACGCACAACACTCCTGACACACTCACACACACCCTCCTGACATATACACCTGTGCACACACCCTCCTGACACACATGCACTCTCACACACACCTGCAGGCACACACACACCCTCCTGACACACATACCTGTCCTCATACACTATCTTCATACACACCCTCCTGACACACTGACTCACAGTTGCAGACACACACACACCCTCCTGACACACTGACTCACACAGTTGGAGACACACACACACATACACACACCCTCCTGACACACACACACACTCTCACACTTGTCTCTCCCTGAACCCCGGCATGTCCTTTACAGACACGGTGCTTGCAGGGGTTAGGAGCATGATGGAGGCCAGAACCCTCCCCTCAGTGAGTCTGTCAGCTCTTAGAGCAGAGCCTGGCGTGCCACAGTGCCAGCAAGGCGGGGCCCACCCTGGCCTTTGCCCCAGGGCACCTGCCGCGCTCTGGGAAGCCAGCTCTGCTTCTCTCAGGCTCCTGGACTGCCTGATCTGGTGCCACAGAGGCACCGTGTGCTGGGCTTCTTCGTGTCCCTCCTTGTCCCTCCGCACATGACCAAAACCCCTTTGAGAGTGAGGGTCTTGCTGGCCACATTGCAGGGTCCTCAGAGCCTGGCCGGGCTCCGAGTGGACCACACCCACCCCTAGCTTCTGTCTGCAGGAGTCAGGGCAGGTGGAACTGGCTTTGTACCTAATGTCAGAGATTGTCACCTGTGCTATCTTGTTAGTTTTAAAGGTTTATTTCTTTATTTACTTGAAAACAGAGTGACAGAAAGTTTCTGTCCTCTGGTTCACTTTCCGAATGCTCACAGCAGGTGTAGCTGGGGCAGGCTGCAACCAGGAGCCAGGAGCTTCATCTGTTTGTCCTGCCTGGGTGGCAGGGAGTTGGGCACCGGAGGCATCTTTTATCTCCCTGGGTGCATTAACCAGGAACGAGGTCAGAGGTGGAGTATCTAGGACCCAAATCAGCACTGCGCTATGGGGCATGGATGTCCCACGTGGCAGCTTAACTTGCTGTATCACAAAGCCCCATCTTTTAAAAAAAAGTGTTTATATTTTCCATTTTATTTGAAAGAAAGAGAAATCCCCCATCACTGGTTCAGCCCCCAGATGCCTGTGACAGGCTGGCTGGGCCAGGCTGAAGGCAGGAGCCTGGAACTTGGCCAGGCTCTCACACATGCGTGGCAGGGACCCAAAAACTTGAGCTGTCACCTGCCACCTCCCAGGCTGTGCATCTGCAGGCTCTGACATGGGTGCAGCCGTCCCAGCGGCCTGCGCGGAGTGCCCCTTTCTGCCTGCCCTCTCAGCGTCTCGGCTCTCTCCAGGCGCGTGAAGTACACATGGGGAGTGTTGGTGACAGAATTTTGGTGTCTGGCTGGTTTTCTGATGTCTCCATGGAGGAGGAAATAATTGAACCTGAGGTTTGCCTCACAGAGGCCAAAGCCAGAGGAAGCAGGGTTGCGACCCACAGCTGCAGGGTCATGGCTCGGTGGGTGCTCAGCAGGCAGTCAGAGCTGGGGTGGGAGTCATGTGCGTCCCTTGCTCATGCCATGCAAGTGGCCTGCTCAAGCCCTTCTCCCCAAGGGGGACCCGGAGCGTAAATGTAGCTCAGCAGTGAAAATGCACCTGCTGTTCAGCGGCATCCAGTCCCTGGCCTAAGCAGCAGGTGTATGTGAGGTCTGAAAAAAATCAGCAAGATCAAAAACGCTGGGAGAAATACAGAATGTTAAACAGCATGGCCAAGGCAAAGGGCCTCCGTGGGTGGATTGTGGCACGGCCGCTGGAATAGCAATGACGGCTTACAGAGCAGGTTAGGAAACCATGCATGTTTGTCTGGGGTCTGAAAGACACACAAAAATGTGTTTGTGTTGCCATGGCAAGTACCCAAGTTCAGTTTCCATGGCTGAGGGAGGGGGACAGGAGGAGGGAGGGGAGATATGGAAACAGTGATGGCACAAGGGGTGCACAGCAGAGCTGCCTCCCCCAGCATGCATGCAGCCAGGACCCCCAACATCCTGCTTGGCACCTGCCACTCACGATGTGGTCTGGGCTGGGCTCCCCGTGCTGTGCCTGGCAGCTGTGGTCACCTGGGACTCAGCTGCTCACTCCATGATGCCCTCAGCTGGGTTAGCCCGGGTTCTCTGCCGTGACTGGCAAGGGATTCAGGAGGGATGGAGGCCACTGCCCAGGCGTTAGCATGCTGCTGTCACCTCTGTCTCACACTTTTTGGTTAAAGCAAGCATCACATGGACCCAGATCTAGGGGTAGGGGACATGGACTTCAGGTGGGGTGGAGTCACCCGCAGTTACACGGGCTGTGGGGAAAAGGGGCTTGGGGGCAGTCGCCTTGTACAGTAGCAAAGTGTTGGTGCTGGTACTGTGGAGAGGTGACCAGCTCAGGTCAGTGTGGTGGCCCAGCAAGTTAAGCCACAGCCTATGACAGCAGGGCCCAAGCACATGGTCCCCACAACCACTACCCACAATGGGATACCTACCCCTGACCTAAGCGTGAATTCTGGGGCCGCATTCAGACTAGCGAGCAGGGGTGGCCACCCTGATCCAGGCCGCAGTGGCCACACAGGGGCCCTGCAGGCGCAGGTACTGGATATGCCACTACAACTGTCTTGGGCACTCATGCCAGCCACAGGCGGCCTCGGTCAGGGACACATGGAGCAGCAGTGTGCTTGGACAAGCCCCACCCTCACTGTGAGCCGCAGGTGCAAGCAACCTGGTTATATGACTGCTAGCCTGAGATGCTCCCATACGGTGAGCCAAAAGGGAACTGTGGGTACCACAGGCCCCTCTTTAAGTTGGTGCTATTGTGAGGAGGGGAGCAGGGAGCCAGGGGGAGAGGCCCTGGCTAGTTGTCTGTCCTGTGACCCCAAGTCCCTTGGGGCTACTGGCTCTTCCATCCCTGTGAGCTTGATGGGGCCACATTGTGGCAGGGAGATGGTGGCTTTCAATTTTGTTGTCCCGTCTGCCTGGTGGAGTTCTCCATAAACATGCCTTGCTGACTCAGGGCCCCTGACCTTCCAAAATGTGGGTGCAAATGTTGTGTTAATGAGAGCAAGAGAGACAGAACCATCCATTGACTCACCCCTAAAGTCTCTGCCACAATGAGGGCCGAAGCGGGTCAAAGCCAACTCATTCTAGGGTTCCCACGTGGGCGGCAGGGACCCACGGATTTGAGCTGTCCCCTGCTGTCTCCCAGGATGCATAGTAGCAGGACACCAAGCATGAGGAGTGAAGCCAGGACTCCAAGCTGGGCTCTGTGGTGTGGGATGTGGGTTTCCTGGTCAAGCAGCGTCACTGCCAGGCCAAACACCTGCCCCTTGGCTTAGTCTCAGGCACGCTTGCAGGGCCTTTTTCCTGCCAAGAGCCATTTGGGTGCTTGCAACATTATTTATGTGCCATGCAGAATCATCAACTTAAAAATCAGGCTGCTTTAGGTTGATTGAATTTTGAGTCCTGCCTTTGGTGGCCTTGGCAGGCCAGACCATGAACTGCATGGGCCGGACATGGCCTGCTGGCCGGGCATTGGAAGGGTTGTGTGAGTCCTGGAGCTGCACGCAGTGACTCCTACCTTGCTGACAGAGTCCTGAGGCCAGGCAGGCCACTGTGACGTGAGATGAAACAAGTGGAAGCTCTGGCCAAGCTCACCTCTGGAGCGTCGCTGCCCAAGAGAGCTCCCGACCCTCCGGTCGGCTGCATGGATGGGCCCCTGCGAAGGGCAGAACCCTGACCCCCCCGCCGAGGTCCCGCCTGTCCCCACTGTTAGTGTTGGCTAGCAGTGATCCAATTTCCATGTGAGAGGGCCAGCGTTGTGGAGTGTGACACCCTCAGCCCACATGTGCACCGGTTCCAGGCCCAGCCGGTGCCTTTCCAGCCCAGCTCCCTGCTGATGCACCTGGAAAAGCAGCAGAAGGTGGCCCACGCACTTGGGCCCCTGCACCCGTATGGGAGACCTGGGTGGAGGCCTAGGCTCCTGGCTTCACCCTGGCCCAGCCCCAGCCATTTGGGGAGTAAACCAGGAAGGTCTCTGTGTCTGATCTCTGCATTTTACTTTCTCTGTTACATGACCTTTCACACAAATAAGGGAATCTTAAACCTTTCTAATGTGAGTCTGGGAGGGGATAGCCATCTAGGTTACCACTCATAAATGTCACCACCTGTCAGTGAGTGGTGCAGCCACCTATTGGGGTCACCCATCGGTGTCACCACCTGTCAGTGAGTGGTGCAGCCATCTATTGGGGTCACCTGTCAGTGTCACCACCTGTCAGTGAGTGGTGCAGCCGTCAGTCGGGGCCATCACCCGTCACTGTTCTCACTCACGTGTGGGAGACCTGTTAAGGGCACAGCACATCTCGGGCTACTCCTACCTGGGACAGCTGCACTGTCTGCTGACGCTCAGGCAACACCAACCGTGGGCTGACATGGGTGGGAAGGGCGCTCCGTGCAGAGATGGCTGCTGAGCCCCGCCCCTGCTCGGCCCCTCCCTTGCAGGATGAGCGTGCAGACCATCCGGAATGTGTTCAGCGTGGAGACCGGCTACCGGCTCGCGGACGATCAGATCGTCAACCACTTCCCCAACCACTACGAGCTGACGCGGAAGGACCTGATGGTGAAGAACATCAAGCGGTACAGGAAGGAGCTGGAGAAGGAAGGGAGTCCCCTGGCCGAGAAGGACGACAACGGGAAGTACCTGTACCTGGGTGCGTACCTTCCCCCGACTGGGGCTCAAGTTCAACATCTGGGTCTCTGTCTAGGACATGCCTGGGCCAGAGGAGCCCTCAGGAAAGGCCACGTACTCCTCGACCCCGGGGTGCCATGATGCTAGCCACACCTTGGGGTGACAGCTTGGGCTCGATTGATGGTGTGGGGTCCCTGGGCAGAGATGCTAAGCAGTGACTCCAGACTAACCCGGTCCTGTCTAAGGAGCTTGACAGCTTTGACGCTGTGGCTGTGGGGTTGGGCGGCAGAGATGAGGGACATGTACTGTGCAGAGGCCTGTGTGTGTGCTCTGAGCTCTGTGTGTGTGCTCTGAGCTCTGTGTGCGCTGAGCTCTGTGTGTGTGCTCTGAGCTCTGTGTGCGCTGAGCTGTGTGTGTGTGCTGAGCTGTGTGTGTGTGCTGAGCTCTGTGTGTGTGTGCTCTGAGCTCTCTGTGTATGTGCTGAGCTGTGTGTGTGTGCGCTGAGCTCTGTGTGTGTGTGCTCTGAGCTCTGTGTGTATGTGCTGAGCTGTGTGTGTGTGCGCTGAGCTCTGTGTGTGTGTGCTCTGAGCTCTGTGTGTGTGCGCTGAGCTGTGTGTGTGTGCTCTGAGCTCTGTGTGTATGTGCTGAGCTCTGTGTGTGTGCGCTGAGCTGTGTGTGTGTGCTCTGAGCTCTGTGTGTGTGTGCTCTGAGCTCTGTGTGTGTGTGCTCTGAGCTCTGTGTGTATGTGCTGAGCTCTGTGTGTGTACGCTGAGCTCTGTGTGTATGCTCTGAGCTCTGTGTGTGTGTGCTCTGAGCTCTGTGTGTGTGCTCTGAGCTCTGTGTGTGTACGCTGAGCTCTGTGTGTGTGCTCTGAGCTGTGTGTGTGTGCGCGCTGAGCTGTGTGTGTGTGTGCTGAGCTCTGTGTGTGTGCTCTAAGCTCTGTGTGTGTACGCTGAGCTCTGTGTGTGTGCGCTGAGCTGTGTGTGTGTGCGCTGAGCTCTGTGTGTGTGTGCTGAGCTGTGTGTGTGTGCTGAGCTGTGTGTGTGTGCTGAGCTGTGTGTGTGTGCTCTGAGCTCTGTGTGTGTGTGCTCTGAGCTCTGTGTGTGTGCTCTGAGCTCTGTGTGTGCGCTGAGCTCTGTGTGTGTGCTCTGAGCTGTGTGTGTGTGCGCTGAGCTGTGTGTGTGTGCTGAGCTCTGTGTGTGCTCTGAGCTCTGTGTGTGTGCGCTGAGCTGTGTGTGTGTGCTCTGAGCTCTGTGTGTGTGCGCTGAGCTCTGTGTGTGTGCTCTGAGCTCTGTGTGTATGTGCTGAGCTCTGTGTGTATGTGCTGAGCTGTGTGTGTGCTCTGAGCTCTGTGTGTGTGTGCTGAGCTGTGTGTGTGTGCTCTGAGCTCTGTGTGTATGTGCTGAGCTGTGTGTGTGCTCTGAGCTCTGTGTGTGTGTGCTGAGCTGTGTGTGTGTGCTCTGAGCTCTGTGTGTGTGCGCTGAGCTGTGTGTGTGTGCTCTGAGCTCTGTGTGTGTGCTGAGCTGTGTGTCTGTGTGATCTCTGTGTGTGTGTGTGTGTTATGTTAGTCCTCTGTATGTCTGTGGGTGCGTCACTGGCTGGGCCTAGGTGGCACAGTGGTGGCAGTGGTTTTAGGCTCCGGGCCGCTGTCAGGCTGGCCGCTGAGTTCGCGGGGCATCTGTGTCCTCAGACTTCGTGCCGGTCACCTACATGCTGCCTGCAGACTACAACCTGTTCGTGGAAGAGTTCCGGAAGAGCCCATCCAGCACGTGGATCATGAAGCCGTGTGGCAAGGCTCAGGGCAAGGGCATCTTCCTCATCAACAAGCTCTCCCAGATCAAGAAGTGGTCCCGTGACAGCAAGACATCTTCGTGAGTTCACTCCTCGCGCTGCGTGCCAGGTCCTGGGTACAGGCTCCTGCCCGTCCTCAGCTCATGGGCTCATGCTGCGTGGCCCTTGCAGACCCTCCCTGCCATCTGCTGCAGGTGGCGTGGCACAGGTCACAGGCAGGGTCCTGCAGGTTGCTCTGTCTGTCACGGTGGTTCCTTGGCAGTGAGGTACGCACTGAGGACCAAGGCTCCTGCATTGAACGTGGCCCGGTATTTACGGCTGGCTGTGTTTGGTTGTCGGCTCTTCACCTGAGTGGACGGGGGGCAGTAACAGCTCTGCCGCACGGGGGTGAGGTGGGAATGGAACCAGCTAACTGATGTGTGGTACCCGGAGGAGTGCCAGATGGGAACCCCCAGGCCCGTGGAATTGTAGGTCAGCTCACAACAGCCAGAGGCTAAGTGCATTTGAGATGTCCTCAGCTGCTGCAGATCACCTCATGGGGGCAGGTGACACCATGGAGGTCCCAGGGCAGGGAAGACACCTGTCACCATGTCAAAAGCTTCAGCTCTGACTCACTGTACTGCTGAATGATGGGTGGGGAGCACAGTGTGCTGATGGGTTCCTCTCCTGACAGACGTCCTGGTTGCGTCCACATTCTGGCTCTTGGGGGTCATGCTGCTGTCCACGTGTGGGATTTTGCATGGACACCAAGGAGTGTGATGAGACCGGGGCTCTTATTTTGGTGGGGACCTCACAGTTGTCTCCCCGAGTGGCTCCAGCACCAGCAGCAGGGTGGAACCCCGTGCCCCAGTGTCCTGGTTTTGAGGCGCCTGGCAGGTGCACAGGGTTTCTCATCGTTGCTTTAATCCAGGCATCCCTGGGACCATCTGGGGGGCAAGTCCCTCCGGCTGCCTGCCTGCTGCTTGTGGCCCTTGCTTGTGTCTCGTGGCCTTTGCTTGTGTCTCTCGGGGATTGTACGCTCTGTCCTCTGACCGTGACCACCTCTGACACATCCTAGGTTCGTGTCACAGTCCTCCAAGGAAGCCTACGTCATCTCCCTGTACATCAACAACCCACTGCTGATTGGCGGCAGGAAGTTTGACCTGCGCTTGTACGTCCTGGTGTCCACATACCGCCCGCTGCGCTGCTACATGTAAGCACTGCGGCATCCAGCCCGTGGCACCACAGTGCCTGGGCGGGCCTGGCCTTGTGGTGCTGGGCAGGATAAGAACGGCTAACCTGGCGCTAATGTGAGGCTCAGAAATAAGACTTTTTGTTGTTGTTGCTAAGATTTACTTATTTATTTGAAACACAGTTACAAAAAGGTGTGGGGGAAGGGAGAGACAGTGAGAGATTGTCCATGTGCAGGTGTACTCCACAAATGGCCGCAGTAGCCAGGGTTGGGCCAAGATGAAGCCAGGAGCTCCATCTGGGTCTCCCATGTGGGAAGCAGGGTCCCATGCACCTGGGCCATCCTTGGTGGCTTCCCCAGGTGCATTAGTAGGGAGCTGGATCCAAAGTGGAGCAGCTGGGACTTGAACCAGGTCCCACCTAGGATGCCAGCATTGTGGGTGACTTTACCCACTGTACCCCAGCAAGCAGATCTTTTACGCTCTTGAGACAGGAAGCCCCTCTCAGAAGAGGGCGCTGCGGGGTCTCCACCCTTTGGTTCATCTGAGAGTTTGCCTGCCTTGGTTTCCTGCCTAGGTACAAGCTGGGTTTCTGCCGCTTCTGCACCGTCAGGTATACCCCGAGCACCAGCGAGCTGGACAACATGTTTGTGCACCTCACCAACGTGGCCATTCAGAAGCACGGGGTGAGTGTGTCTCTTCAGCAGGGGGTCACGTGCGCTTGGTGGGCACCTTCTATCTCAGGTGGCAGAAGACGGGAGTCCTGGGATGAAATCCCAGGTGAGCGAGGCCTGACCGCAGGCCCTGGCACTGCCCAGGAGGGAGGCTCTGGGCAGCAGGTGTGGCTGACCCCAGGCACCTGAGTTGGGTTTCAGGCTGGGGTGGGAGCAGGGGACACTTGGAGAGAGAAGGCTCAGATTTGAATCCACGCATCCAGTTCTGTGACCTCAGGCAAGCCAACTCCTTCGTGAAGCTATTCCCTGAGTGTAGGCGGCGAGGACAGTATCAGTGACGCTGCCTGGTTTTGTTGGGGCCGAGTTGTGATAAAGCTGTGAAGGATTGAAAACAGCCCAGGTGGAAGATCTGGGACCCACTGCACATCCCGACCCAGGGGCAGTGACCAGGGGGCCTGCGTCATTTCCCATGTCAGCGGCATCCCAGGGGAGTCTGTGCCGCATAGCCCTCGCCCAGTGAAGGATCAAAACCCACCACGCGAAGCGTGTTTTCTGCCGTCGAGAAATCAAGACAATCCTTAAGTTGAACTGCTGTACGTCAGACACCATCTGTGTGCATCACAGGGTTGTAGAAGGCTGCTGGGAAGAACTCCCTTCTGAAGATAGTCCGGTTTCACTTGCTTGAAAGGCAGAGGCTTTACTGAGAGATTTTACTGAAGCACTCCCCAAATGCCTGTAGGGCTGGGCTGGGCCTCTGCCAGGATCCCAGCATCCCATCCAGGTCTCCCATGTGGGTGCCAGACACGCACATAATTGGACCATCAGCCAACGCCTTCGCTCACACATTAGCTGGAGGAGAGCTGTGGGAGACCTGGAAAGCAGGGGGCTGGCATGGCGCCGTGCCCAGCCTGAGGTCTGCCCCTCTGCCACCCACAGGAGGACTACAACCACATCCACGGGGGCAAGTGGACTGTGAGCAACCTGCGGCTGTACCTGGAGAGCACTCGCGGCAGGGAGGTGACCAACAAACTGTTCGACGAGATCCACTGGATCATTGTGCAGTCCCTGAAGGCCGTGGCGGTGAGTGGCCGCCGGGTCAGGATCGGGAGCCTAGGGGTGATAATGGCTGTCGGCCAGGAGACACGACGGGGCTACTGGTTTGTCTATGTGTCTGTCAGGGACCAGGTGCTGTTGGCAGTCAGCTTCCTGCCAGGGGTCCCCAGACTGCATGGGGCTCCTCTCGGCCTCTTTGCTTTACCGTGCAAACTCAGAAAGCCCCGGGGCCTAGCCGTCTGCTGCAGAGGTCTCTTGAGGCCTCCCTCCTGGTACCTGGTGGTGGGACTTGGCTGGGGACAAGTGCAGAGTCCTGGGCTCAGTGTGATGGCAAGTGAGGCCCCGCCACACCCCGAAGATAACTGTGTCCCAATTGTCCTGGGTACGTTGTTGGTGACCTGGGACCCTGAGGCCAGTGTGGGCTGTCTGTGCACCATGGCCTGCAGAGGGCAGCCGAGTGCCAGGGAGGAAGTTAGTGTGGGTGGTTGTGTGGCTCCAAGGCCTGAGTGACCCAGCCAGTCCTGCCCATGTATGCCCAGCTCCATCTCCCCTGGGAGAAGCGTGCACCTGCTCCGGAGGCACCTTCTGGACCTCAGCTTCCCCAGCTGACACGCCATTGCATCTCTAGGCCTCCGGGCATCTCCAGAGCAGCTAGTTTGCTTCTGCAGTTGGTAGTCACTTAGAAGGGGTCAGCCTTGCTGACACCGTGTCCACAGGGCATGAGGGCCAAGGTAGACCAGGAAGCTGCAGGAATGGATGGCCAGGGCCTGCTGTGGGGGATGAGGTGGGCTGTCAGGCCCAGAACCTAGATGAAATGGGATGCCCAGGTGGGGAAAGAGGAGCAGGGCCTGTGTTCACAGAGCCGTGGAGACAGCTGTGTCGGGGGAGTGACAGATGGCTTAGCACAGGCTTCCTGGGCCAGAGGTCTGGGCTCTGGCTGTGGTCAGAACACCAGGCCTTCCAGCCCCTGATGCCCCGGTGCCCGCTGTCCTGTGTGGGGAGTAAGAAGGTGCGCCCAGCTCAGATGACAGCCGTTACCTGGGCAGGCCAGCACCAATGCGCCCATGGTCTCACTCCTGTGCCTCCTGCAAAAGTCTGGGAGGGTTTGCATGTAGGCCCAGTGAGGGCCCAGGACTCTGCATAGCAGGCCAGCAGCTGCTGTTTCCCAAGGTCTCTGGGGAGCAGCAGCCCCAGGTGCCCCTGGGTGACATGATAGGGAAAATCACCGTTTTGGGTCACAGGGAGTGGAGGTCCCTGGTCTCGCACCTTGGTCCCCAGCAGCTGGCGACCGGAGTATGTCCAGGATGAGGCTGGACGGGCCTTGGCCCACCACCGTCCCCAGGTGTCCACTCAGGGCAGCCTCACATGGTGCCCCAAGGAGTGGGAGGGCGGACACCAGTGACTGCACCGTGAGCCTCCTCGAGCTGGGGGCGCCCGGCCCGGCTCTGTGCCCTGTGGGAGGGCCTGGGGCGGAGGGGCGGAGGGGCGGGAGCCCTGGGCACCGGAAGTGACCTGCTGCTCGCTCTCCCCAGCCGGTGATGAACAACGACAAGCACTGCTTCGAGTGCTACGGCTACGACATCATCATCGACGACAGGCTCAAGCCCTGGCTCATCGAGGTGACGCCCAGACTCCTGCCCCCACAGCCCGGCAGCGCCCCGCCCCGTGCCCCTCGGGCCAGGACAGACCGCCCATGCCTGACTAGCCACCTGGTGCTGGTGGGCCCAACCCGCGTGGAGGGGCTGTGTCCGTTCTCACATGGCCTGGCAGGTGCTCGCTGCGGGCGGCCTGAACTGAGCCCTGTGGCCGCCAGCGTTCCCTTTGCCCCCCAAGGAGTGAGTGAAGAAGTGCGGTTTGTTCTTTTTCCCTCTCAGGTGAACGCATCCCCGTCTCTCACCTCCAGCACGGCCAACGACCGCATCCTCAAGTACAACCTGATCAACGACACCCTCAACATCGCCGTCCCCAACGGCGAGATCCCGGACTGCAAGTGGAACAAGTCCCCCCCGAGGGAAGTCCTGGGCAACTATGAGATTCTGTAAGTGGGCAGGGCTGTGGGAGGGCCTCCCACCGGGCCTGTGTGGGCAGAAGGAAGGGTGGACGCGACACTGGACACTTACTTCCCCTGGTCAGCATTAGAAGCACTCCCCACGTGGCAGACCTGTGTCAGCCACGGCAGTGGGGACAGGGAGCTGATATCACTCCAGCTGCCCCGCTCCACTCCATGCAGCGCTGTGTGACAGATGCTGGTGGATTCCCCACGCTGTGCACACCTCTGTGCGGTCACCTGCTGAGCAGGGTGAACCAAGAGGGAGCAAAGGCTCGGCAGATGGCGCTCATGGCCTGTCCCTGCAGCTGAGCGGGTGGTGGGCATGCTGGCATTGTGGGTCACGTGTAGGCACACACTGCCAGTCCCTGCAGCTGAGTGGGTGGTGGACATGCTGGCCCCGTGGATCATGTGTGGGCACACACCATTTGTCCCTGCAGCTGTGCGTGGTGGACATGCTGGCCCCATAGGTTATGTGTGGGCACACGCCATTTGTCCCTGCAGCTGAGTGGGTGGTGGACATGCTGGTCCTGTGGATCATGTGTGGGCACACGCCGTTTGTTCCAGCAGCTGAGCGGGTGGTGGACATGCTGGCCCTGTGGATCATGTGTGGGCACACGCCGTTTGTTCCAGCAGCTGAGCAGGTGGTGGACATGCTGGCATTGTGGGTCACATGTAGGCACATACTGCCTGTCCCTGCAGCTGAGTGCATGGCGGACATGGTGACCCCATTTTATAGATGTGGGAACAGAGACAGGACAGAGAAGTGTGGGTAGCAATAGAGAGGGGAGCCCTGCCTACTAGAGGGCATAGTGGGCTCAGCAGGATTCCTGGTGCCAAGGACCACGACATGGCTACCACAGGGACTGCCCCGGAGTGTGCCGCAGGGCCTCGGAAGCTGAGATGATCACAGAATGGGGGTGTGATGAACTCCCCAGGCTCCTTGTGACCCCTGCATCCACAGCTGCCTTGTCCTCACATGCAGTCTTCAGGGAATTGCACTCAGGTCTATGGAGGGTGTCCTGGCTTGGTCATCATCACAGGTACCACGGGGGCAGGGGACAAGGAAGCCAGACAGCAGGGGTACGGAGGTTTCTGTAGACCACAAGGCTCAGGCGTGTCAGCAGCCCATTTAGCCCGGGGGCTGAGTTGGCAAGGGTGGGGGTGATCAGAGGGGGGAGTGCTGGCTGCAGGAGGGTAGACGGCGGGCACTGGACTCTGGGGACGGGGAGAGTTGATGGGAAGTAAACGGGTGAGCAGGAGAGGGCCATGGCGCCCTGGGACTGGGGGCTCATGTGGGGAGGAGGCCAGGAAATTGGATTCTCATCTGTGTGATCTCTGGGAGTCACTGGCAGCTGTGACACTTGCATCTCCCAGGATTGGGAGGCAGTGACCTGGAGGAGTAGCAGAGCGGGGGTGGGCAGGTTGAGCTGTGCTGCCCTGAAGCAGCCATGAGGCCCAGGGTTGGCTGGGAGAGAACCTCCCGTGAGGGCCTCAGGATGTGGCCAGTGGAGGGCATGGGGCTTGCTGATGACACCCTTGGGGTTGGGCTCAGACAGGCTGGCCAGGACAGTGGGGCTGGGCAGCTTGGCAGGGGAAGGGTGCTGGGAGTGAGCTGTGGTCAGGTCTCCTGGGATTGGTCTTAAGCGTGAGTGGTCAGGGACTGTGGGTGGGGAGGGGATGGTCTCACCCTTTCCTGTGGGCCCGCTGGGTTGCTCTGCAGCCCGCCTGGGCAGGGGACGGTTACTGGGGTTACCGGAGGCTCCATTTCTGCATAGACACAGGGGTTTAGAGCCTCTACTTTGTGGTGGTAAGAATAAGGTGGCCCCTCTGCCACCAATGGGAGCTCCTGTGCATCCTGGGCTCAGAGCCCACATGCCCTGCAAGTGGGCCCTGAAGCAGGGTGAGACCTAGTGGCTGGTTGACCCTGGGCCAGGTACGCTGTGTCTCACCCCAGGGTTCCCAGAGGCCTTCGAGAGGTCTGGCAGGGTGAGCTCACATGCCACAGGTCACATTGGCCCCAGCCCTGGGAGCAGGCGCCCTGTCTGTGTCCCTGGATCTGGGAGCAGGCGCCCTGGCTGTGGTCCCGGCCCTGGGAGCAGACGTCATGGGTGTGGCCCTGGCCCTGGGAGCAGGCGCCCTGTCTGTGGTCCCGGTCCTGGGAGCAGGTGCCCCGGGTCCTGGGAGCAGACGTCATGGGTGTGGCCCTGGCCCTGGGAGCAGGCGCCCTGGCTGTGGTCCCGGCCCTGGGAGCAGGCGCCCTGGCTGTGGCCCTGGCCCTGGGAGCGGGCGCCCTGGCTGTGGCCCTGGCCCTGGGAGCGGGCGCCCTGTCTGTGGCCCTGGCCCTGGGAGCGGGCGCCCTGTCTGTGGCCCTGGCCCTGGGAGCGGGCGCCCTGGCTGTGGCCCTGGCCCTGGGAGCGGGCGCCCTGGCTGTGGCCCTGGCCTGGTGGCAGTTTACAGCTCACCTCCAGGGCCTGTTGTGCTGTTGCCAGCTACACCATCACAGTCTATACCCCAGCAGCAACCAGATTCTGCCCGTCTGGCCCACAGGCAAGGCCTGTAAGGTAGGCAAACCCCTAGAACCGCGGGCTGGGCTCTGCCTGATTCATTTGCCTGTTAGCTGAGGAAGCAGCTGGATGGGCCTGGAATAGTTGGCCTGTGTCTGCTGCTGCCACATGCCCTGTTTTGTTCCATGTCCTAAAAGCTGCACAGACAGCACAAAAGCCTGGTCACAAGGCCTACCCCGTGGGGTCCTTTGTACCATTCGCTCAGCAGATTCTCCCCCAGCCCGAGAGAGGTGCTGGGGAATCACAAGTGGAAGACATTCTCCCTTAGAAGGTTCTAGTGCACCCCACGTTCAACCACCAGGCTCTGGTTCTGGAAATGCACTCGCCCCCTCTTCCCTGAGCTGCAGAGTTCAGCTCCTGTTTAGGAGCCCACAGTTGAGTAGTCACAGGTGCCTGCGTATGGCTGAGTATCCTCAGGAGGGCACTGGGCAGCCGGGAGCAGGGCTGCATCCCCTCTCAGCTCTGCAAGGCATCAGGCTGCCAACTGGGAGTCCCAGGTTTAGTCCCGCCTCTGCCACCCAGTCCTGAGTCAGCAGGGCAGTGACGTCCCTTCCCTAAGCCCAGTCACTGGGACCTGACCTACCACCGCCCCGGGGACACCCTGAGAGAGGGCCACTGCCACAGCAGGAGAAGCCAGGGCCTCATTCAGGCGTCCCAGCCCAGGGGGTCGGGAGTCCGGGGTCCGATCCAGCTCTCCCAGATGCAGCGTTCCGGGCTGGGCTTCCTGTACCACCTGGCTCATTCAGAAGTAGCAGTGAGAATGCCACCCTACTGGCAAAGCAGCCAGAAAAGACAAAAGGCAGGCGCCCCAGTGGACTGCTTGCCCATTCTGGACCTCTCAGCGGGCATCTCACCCCGCATGCTTTCTGCAATGGGATTGTCGCCCTGGCCTGTGGGTGCGTAGGGTTCCAGACACGACCTCATACCCCAGGCTGACTCAGTGGCATCTCATTTGTGTCGTCAGGGTCATTACCACATTCCTATTGAGCTGTCAACTGCAGGGGGCGGGGCCCATGCGCAGTAACCCAGTGGCCCCGGGTTCTGTGGCCACCTGCTGGGCTGGTGGGCAGGCCAAAGTTGCTTCCCTGGCTGAGGTCAGTGGCCAGGGGTGGGAGGCCTGGGGCTGCCACTCTGCTCAGTGCAGGGATCACAAAGACATTCCTGTTTGCAGGTATGATGAGGAGCTGGCCCAGGGCGACGGGACTGAGCGTGAGCTGAGAGCCCGCCCTGGTCAGGCGCTGGGGCCCAAGGGGAGCCGGTCACGAGACTCCGGGAGGACCGTCCTCACCACCTGGAAGTGACTGGGAGGACCACCCACCCTAGCCTCCTTGGTGCTCGCCTCTGCCAGAGCCCCGCTGCGGTGCAGCTACTGTTCCCCGCCCTGCAGCTCTCCTGCCTTCCCCTGGCTCGCGGTGAATAAAAGTGCCCCTTTGGAAGGTGCTGTGTCTGTTCCCTGCAGCATCGCCAGCCTGCCCACAGGGCCGTGTGACCCTGGTCTCCTGGCAGGAAGTAGCCGCCCATGTAGGCTCTAGTTTGTTGTGACGTCTTCACGTTGGTAAAGCTTTTGCACAAGCGCAGATGGCCACTGTGGCCGGCAGTGTCCTATCGGAGTGCTGGCTCGAGTCCTGGATGGTCTGGGCTTCAGACCCAGCTTCCCACGCATGCACTGGGGAAGCAGCAAAGATGGATCGAGTCCTAGGGTCCCTGCTGCCCATGAGGGAGACCTGCATGGACTTCCTGGCTCCTGGCCTTGGCCTGCTCCAGCCCTAGCTGTTATGGGAAATGAGGAGTGAACCAACAGATGGAAGCTATTTCTCCCTTCTCTGTCCTGCCACCTGTCAAATAGTCCTAAGAAAAAAAACGTTCTGGCTAGTTCTGCTGCCGCTGTGTGTTTAATCAGGCTGCTGTTTGGGTTTGTCAATCCTCTGACTTGATTTTGAGGAAAACAATGTTTGACCTGCGCCAAGGCCGCTGCCTGGTGCCCTCAGGAAAGGCGCTCATGCCGCTGGCCCGTCTAGGGTCCGTCCGAAGGTGTGACGGGCAGGCCCACCCTTGGCCGCTGTGTTGGAGTCAATGCCGTCAGCAGCCATTGGCGAGGACAGCCCCAATGAGAGCACTCACTGAGCCCCTCTGCTGCCCACAGGTGCCATGCGTCACAGGGCCCGAGCAGCTGCATGCCCTTGGGGCGTGCCTCGCACAAACTCCTTCCAGCTTTGGGTGAAGCAGTCTCAGATGTGTGTGCACGGCGCCCGTCACACCTGTGTGTGTGTGTGTGTGCACAGACTTTTTGTTATAAAAATGGAGGAGCAGAGAAGTCTTCCATCCGCTGGCTGCGACAGCTGGGCCTGAGCCAGGCTGAAACCAGGCTCTTATGAAGTCAGGAGCTTCTTCTGAGTCTCCCATGTGGGTACAGGGTCCCAAGGGCTTGAGGCCTGCTCTGCTGCTTTCCCAGGCCATAAGCAGGGAGCTGGATGGGAAGTGGAGCAGTGCCCAGATGGGATGCTGTCCCCTGCAAACCTATCAATAAGGTTTCACTGTGACCCTTGAGGAGTAGGTCCTTTAGATGAGTATGGCCTGCTTGCCTAGGTCACTCCGCTTTGTCTTGCCCCGGGGGCACCGACCCGCCCCTTCATCCCCAGTTCTCTGGTGTTACTGCTGCCTCAGTAGAGCTCACACCCCTGTCTCAGAGTCAGGATACCGGGCCCTGTGGAAGCAGGCAGCTGGGAAATGCCAGTGGCCGGTTGCCAGGTGAGTCTACAATGTGGGTCCACGTCAGATGCCGACAGCCACGTCATGATGTCACGTCCAAGGCAGGTGCTTTCTCCAAGCACATCCAGAACACACTTCCCTGCAGGAAGTGTGCTGTGTCCTAGGCAGGCCTGGGAAGCCACACCCCCATCACTCAGCCCAGGCTTTCCCAGGAGGCTCACGTATAGCCGTGCAGGGTGACCATCCTGCAGCTCCTGACAGCTGCCGTCCTGTTCTCCCTCTCTGTGGTGGGGTTGGCCTGAGTCTCAGGGGGCTGGGTTGCACCACCTGGTCTTCCACGTGGTTTTGGATGGGCTGCACTTTCTCAGCCTGAGCTCAGCACCTGTTCCGTGGCACTGGGGCCCGAGTGGGGAATGCACTCCCCTCCCATCACAGTCCCCAGAGTGGCCTCACCTTAGTGCCTACCCCATCACATCCAGCTGGGCAGAAGGCCTTTGCTGACAGTGGCCCTTTTGCCCGTGGACACTGTGGCTCCTCAGTGCCTTCCCCGACTGGGGAGCTGCCCTAAGCACCTGGCCCGGGTCAGGCCAGGAGCCCCTCATGGGCTGCAGGGAAGCCGGTGCTCTATGCTGGAGTTTGGTGGTCTTGGCTGGCTGGCACCTGGGCCCAGTGCCTGCAGGTGTCCAGTATGGGTTCACTGTGGCACTTAATACTACCCCCCAACGTGGGTCCCCTCAGGACATTTCCAGAGCCTTTCTGTGTCTGCTGCTTGGCTCCGATTCCTCTCGTAGAGGATATTTTCTTTCAGCTGAATCCTTAGGAGCCTTGGGCCCCATGCCACTGCTCGCACGCCTGCTGCACATGCCCACCCAGTCTGCAGGAAGAAGCCTGGAGGAGCTGCAGCGCCCCCTGCAGGTAACCACAAGCCTGCCACAAGTCCAACTTTTTCTGTTTAACGCCGTGATCATCCCTGCCAGAGTCCAGCTATCCTCCCAGGTCCTGGGGTGAGGGCATCCTTGCAAGGCAGCACATTCTCCCAGGAAGTCTCCCTGCAGGGCTCAGTGGTGAGGAAGTAGCTAGGATGGGTTCCTGGAAGTGCTCACGTAGCTCCCAGCCTGGGCATGGCAGGGCCATCCAGGTCTCCATGGACCAGTGCCCTGGGCTAAGAGGCAGCAGGGGCTCGCCAGCCTTGCCGCCCACGACCCTGTAGCCTGGGTGGGTGTGCCAGCAGCTTCTCCCCTTGGATTCACGGAGCCCTGGTCTGTGCAGCCAGGGAGCCCCAGCCAGACCTTTGCACCCAGCCTGCTGGCTCCGTGTACAGGGGCGACCCCTGGATGACCCATGACCCCAGATTTCTTGTGAGCCTAATGAGCTGAGTGGTATCTGCCCTTCCTGCCCCTCCCCCCATTTTGTGTCTACTCAGAGCCTAGGAGGAACTTTCTGGAAAGAGAGCCTTTGCAGATAGTCATTTGCTGGTCTGAGGATGCCCTCGTCCCAGGGTGGACTCTCATCCGAGTAGGCGTTAGGCCAGGGCTGGGGTGATGCAGGAAGACCCTGGAAGGCGTGAATGGCAGAGACACCTGGATCCAGAAGCCACGTTGTTGCTTGAGATCTCCCTGGCATCAGCAGGTGGCCTCGTCAGAGCTTCAGAGCACCCGGGAGTCTCCTGCTGTGTGCCCTTGGGGAGATGTGCACACTCCCTTGCCCTCTTCCCCCGCCCAGGTGCCCTTCTGGCTGCAGGTGCCCGTGACGATTGTCCCTCTGCCTGTAGCTGCTGAAGACAATGTGCAGCATGTGAGTACAGGGCCATTCCCAGTGCCACTGCCTCCTTTGTCTCCTTTCCATCAAGAACCAAGCCTTCCTGACTTGGGTCACCTGAGTTCTGTCCCTCCTGCACCCCTAACTCTGCCTCCCCTTCCCACCCCCAGAGCTGCTTCCTGAACAACACACCTGTCAGGCAGGTGATGCTGGGACACCTCCCGCGTGGCTCTGGCCTGGGGTTGGCAGTGGAGGCTGAGGGGACTCAGTGGGCTCTCCTGGTAGGAGCAGGGACTAGGGAGAGGAGAAGCTGGGGGTCTCTCTTGCTGGAAGTGTCTCTCATACCTCCTGGTTGTTTCTGTTCTGGCTGCAACAGCGTTGGGTTGGCCACCTCCCCCTTCTCCCCAAAGAGCCTTGGGACTGGGGCCGTGGCTGTCTTCTGTCCGTGGAGCACAGGCTGTGCCACCAAGCAGGGATCCTGCCACAGAGGCAGCTGGTGAGGGAAGAAAGACCCACAGAGGGGTCCTGGCCTGGCCCGGCCCTGGGGCTGTACCAGGCACCAAGTGCCTCTGTTCCCCTGGCAAGCCCCACCCTCCCAGTTAAGTGTCCAGAACACCAAGTGGCAGGCCAGGATGCTCTGGGACCATGAGGAGCAAGGTACCTCCTGGCCCTGACTGAAGACATAGCCATGTGGCTGTCATCCTGGCACTTGCTGGTTGGCCTCTTCGGCAATCTCATGATTTGTGACAACCCCCCCACACAAGGTCCAGAGTGACCCCTGACTGCCTCCTGGCGGTGTCCAGGCCCCAGCAGAGTCCTGGGAGAAGTGCCCCAACCTCACCACGCTGCAAGCTCATGGCGAGTCCTTCCCGGCAGGCACCTTGGGCTGAAATGCCGGGCTTTCTGTGCCGGGTTCCCCCTCCCTCCAGGCACGCAGCCAAGCTGCACGGGGAGAGATACAGAGGCGGAGTTGGCCATACCTGGGAAACACCTGCTTGCACAGAGCTGGACGGCGTGTCGGGGTGGAGCTGCAGGTGGTGGGTGAGGCAGACAGGGCCGTGCTCAGTGTGTGGGGATGAGGAGACACACAGGGGCGAGGGTCAGCTGTGCGATGGAGTCAACTATCAGAGAGGCAGAGTGCCAAATGGGAGTCGGGTAATGTCAGTGTTGTGACTGTCCACTGGGCACGGGGAGTCGTTTGGGCAGGGCACTTGCTGCCTGAGGCAGGCAGTGCAGGCTCAGTGCCATGGAAACAGTGTGGTCAGCAGGGACCCTGCCGGTTGTGATCTGAGCTGGCTTCTGGGAGAAGGAGCTGTTTGAATCTTGTCTTTTTTTTTTTTTTTTAAAGATTTATTTCTTGGGGCCCGGCGGCATGGCCTAGCAGCTAAGGTCCTCACCTTGAATGCGCTGGGATCCCATATGGGTGCCGGTTCTAATCCTGGCAGCTCCACTTCCCATCCAGCTCTCTGCTTGTGGCCTGGGAAAGCAGTTGAGGACGGCCCATAGCTTTGGGACCCTGCACCCGTGTGGGACACCCGGAAGAGGTTCCTGGCTCCTGGCTTCGGATTGGCGTAGCATCGACCGTTGTGCTCATTTGTGGAGTGAATCATCGGACGAAAGATCTTCCTCTTTGTCTCTCCTCCTCTCTGTATATCTGACTTTCCAATAAATAAATACAATCTTTTTAAAAAAGGCAGATTTTACAGAGAGAGAAGGAGAGACAGAAAGATTTTCCATCTGCTGTTCACTCCCCAAGTGGCTGAATGGCCAGAAATGAGCTGACCTGAAACCAGGAGCCAGGAGCCCCCTCGGGGTCTCCCACGCGGGTGCAGGATCCCAGTGACATGGGCCGTCCTCTGCTGCTTTCCCAGGCCACAGGCAGGGAGCTGGATGGGAAATGGAGTAACCAAATAAGAACTAGCATCCATATGAGATTCTGGCGCTTACCAGGCAAGGATTTAGCCATGGAGTGACCATGCCAGGGCCAAGCCTTGTCTTCAATGATGATTGGGAATGGCTGGCAGGTTGGGGAGAAGATTATTGTGGATAATCTCTGGAAGATGACTCAGGTTTGCTTGTGCAGGGCTTCTGGACACTGGCTAAAGAATTTGGACCAGTTCCATGGGTTCTAGGGAGCCACTGAGAGTGAGAGAAGCGGTAATCTGTGTTCTTAGGACAGGAGGGCAGCATCGGAAGTGATGATGTAACCTTGGGGCTGGGGCTCTGAA